TAATCATCCTTGTGTTATCTGGATCTAAACCGTTATTGTATTATAGGGATCTTAATCATCCTTGTGTTATCTGGATATAAACCGTTATTGTATTATTGAGATCTTAATCATCCTTGTGTTATCTGGATCTAAACCGTTATTGTATTATAGGGATCTTAATCATCCTTGTGTTATCTGGATCCAAACCGTTATTGTATTATTGAGATCTTAATCATCCTTGTGTTATCTGAATCCAAACCGTTATTGTATTATAGGGATCTTAATCATCCTTGTGTTATCTGGATCTAAACCGGTCATTTGTTATCGGGATTTAAAACGTTCTAGTGTTATCTGTATCTAAACCGTTTTTGTGTTCTATATTTTCTGTGCAAGTCAACGACACGTTATTTGTCTAAACAATAACACTCAGCTGTCAGAGAGATGTATATTGTGATAAACAACAGGACTCGTACAGATGATTATTAATAGGGATACTTAAGTACCTTGAAGAAGAAGGCTATTTAAAAGGGAGGCATGTGAAGTTTCTAGAAATCTCTCATCTGATATGCAAAAAATATATAAATCGATCCGTTACCATAGTAACCCGTCACCGTCAGGAGACCAGATCCTAATCACACATGTAAGAAGCCATAATGGGATTTTCCTACAGGAAGATCAAAGATGTAACTTAAAGTACATCTCGAAATATTGAAACCAAAAAAAAAAAAACCATTATTTACATTGTTTGATCGAACGATAAAACGTTTGTTTTTACAATGACGAAATTGATCTTTTCAGAAAAAAATAATTTTGCTACAAACATCTTTTATTTTTAATAAATTTTATTAAATTAAAAACAATTATATCATACCCAATAGTTCTAAATATTTAATGTAATACTTTTAGAAGGTTATAATATATTAAGGTCTAGAAAATTGCAAAGATCAGATTTCGCAACTCTGCATGCATACGAAGTCCTGAGAATTTAATTTTAATCGTGATAACAGTTTTTGCTGCTTAATTAATCCGAAATGTTCAAATGATAAATTAATGTTTTCTGTCCAAAGTATTGTTTACTCTTACACGAGTATAGTTTATCATAATAAAAATAATAATAACCACACGTAAAGTAAACCATACATTTATACAAAATATTGTTTACAATTGTTAACAACAATACAATAAATATGTCCATTATTCCTTGTACAATAGTCACGAGACGATTGTAAAAAACGATTATTATATTCGGGTATTAACGTAGAGCAGGAGTAATAAAATAATTAGAACTTGTTTAAGAAATTCATATAAAAGTAATAAAATAATTAGAACTTGTTTAAGAAATTCATAT